ATCGGCATCTTCTATGTCATTTAAATTAGAAAGGCTACACAATCTTTATCGCTCACTCCTCATAACACTATTGCTTAGGAAACTTTTCCAATTATGGCAAAATAACTCACATGAGTTTCAAAAAGGCGACGTTCTAAATTTTATGGTAACATTATAGTGTTTAAGCAGTGGACTGTATCTTATTGGATTGGTAGATTAATGGTTGTGCAAAAAAATAGCTCACCGTCTATGTGCCAGCCTCCATCTTTTTTACTTTGGAGTCCTTGAGGCTTCGAGTCTCTCAAAGCTTAAGTCTTATCATTTATCTTTTAGATCTGATACCCACCAATCGCCGTAACGCGGGATATTTAATCGAAAACCATTCTTTTGCCAACCAGCTATTGTTTATAAATAATAATTGTCCACGCAGTCCAAATATAATTTTAATAAAAAGCATTTTATTTACATCTGATATGTAATGACTTTCACCTAAGTCGCTTTTTAAATCCTTATAAAAGTCATGAAATCTAGACACTAGCTTTTTTCCTCATATCCGCTTTAAAATTATTTTCGGAATTATTTTTATTACCCAACACTGTCACCTATGCCGACGGCACGTGTATCCTATCAGTTAATAACGATCCATCTATTGCATCCCAAACCCTTCAATCACACATCACAAGCCTTGAAGAATGGTGTCAAAACTGGAGGATTAAAATAAATTCCAATAAATACCATCAAATTACCTTCACTCTTCGTCGTAAACCTATGATTTCCTGTCCTACAGTATCCTTCAACAATAGCCCTCTTATCCCTGTTGAACAAATTCAATACCTAGGACTCCACCTTGACAAAAGACTCACTTGGAATCCCCACACCAGACTGAAACGACTAGAAACCGCCCGACGTTTTCGACTACTGCAGTACTTACTAGACAAACGATCTAAGCTTTCAATCAATTATAAACGACTCATATATATGACAATAATAAGACCTATTTGGACTTACGAAATTGAGCTTTGGGGCTCCACTAAACCATCGAATTACTCTCGTATCCAATCCTTACAATTCAAAATCCTTCGTAAAATCCTCAACGCTTCTTACTTTGTCACAAATAAAATCATCCATAAAGACCTTAATGTTTAATATGTTTCCGATTTGGCCCAATCCTGATACCTATCCTTCCATAACAAACTGCAGAACCATCCGAACCCTCTTGTTTCAAACCTTGCTTTCTCCTCGATCCCTGATAACCCTCCGAGGCGTCTGAAAAGAAGATCTTCTCGGGATCTTCTAATATAGAACTTTAATTTGAGTTCTACCAATGGGTACTTTCTCTTCATGTTTTACATGTCATGTTACCAATGTCACATTTACTTGTTGTATTTTTAATGTAATACAGTTGTAAATTTCATTAAAATTAAATTAAAAAAAAGACTTTATTACGTTCCGACTTCGGCTCATCCATTGCTTCACTATCTCATCCCATTACATCTTGAAAATGTTCGGAGACAGACAGCACCCCTTTGGTCCCAGAAAAATGGTTCCGAGAAGCGGTTCCCAATCTTCACTCTGTACAGATCGCTTCCATACCGGAATTGTTTGTACCATGTACCATGGATTCATTAATACCCGCTCTTCTTAGTGCTGGCCACATTCTTACCCTAGGAACTATCATATGCCTGCTCCAGATCAATTATGGCTAAATAAATAAACGGGTTGAAGTATCTAAAATACAAAATTACTAACGTGAGCCACCAAAGTTTTACAGCCAAAAAAGACAGATTTTTTCGTTATTCTTTTTTTACCCATAACTCCTAAACGATGAAACAAAGCGAAAAATAAAAGGACGTTCAATTGTGCGTCGAAGGACTACCTAAATCTAATAATTTTAAGCCAACGCTGATTTTGACCACATTTGTCAAAAACTGAGACAAATTACTTTAAATACCCGTATAACATAGAAATAAGTTCTCTAAGAGGAAAATCTATAGAATCAAAGTTATAGAGCATCAAATTTTGCATCCACTGAGTACCGACATTTTTATTGTAGGCCAAGTTTATATCTCGAATTCGGGATTCGTTATTTCTTTATGAAATTCGGTATCTTACGACACATTATTTTCAAAATGCTTCGCTTTTGAGGTGGAAAAGAGGCTTATACTGCATCTAACAGACTCTAAACAAAATATAAAACGGTTTTTGACCAATTTGGTAAAAATCAGCGTTGGTCCACCGTAGGTTCTACTTATCCAAATTATTTGGTTGGGCACTCCTTCCAGGTACAATTTTCTTTAATTGATCAAAGAACAAATGTTTCGCTCCGATACATAGTTCAGGAGTTAGAGGTAAAAAGCAAAAAAAAAAAAATCTTGGAAAAATCTGATTTTTTTGGCTATAATGCCCCCTTCCATTGACCACCTAGGCTGTCAGGTATATTTTACATGCTTTTTTTGCAAAATAATCTTCATGAACTCCTAGAAGATATTCCGCTAGGCATTTGGCAAAGGCTGTGGTTTATACATGAAGGTGCTAGAGCTCACTTTTATAATAGTGTCAATGATTATTTAAATGCAACTTATAGAGACCGATGTGTTGGTCGAAACGGGCCTGTTAAATAGGCATTTAACTCCATCCACGATCTCCGGACTTAAAGCCATTAGATTATTTTGTGTGGGTCCTTGATGAAGTCTATGTTTTTTTATAGAAGAGGTAAGAATCGTGGAAGCGGCAGTAACTATCAAGCACCATCCTGACGCTATACGAAGAGCCAGAGAAGCATGGATTCGTCCTGTTGAATGTTGCATTCAACAAAACGGAGGCCCCTTTGAACAGTTACTCTAAATGTTGTAACAATAATAAATAAATAGTAATAATAAGTAATAAATCTTTAACCTTTGATATACGTTTAATAAATGAGTTTGAGATATATGTTGATATGAACTTTTTTCTTCATTTTGTGTTAGTGAACACATACCTAAAATAGTGCCACGCAATTACGAAACACCTTGTATATTAATCTTGGCCTTCGCTTATTTGACTCTGTAAACTATTTTCGACCTATTAGCTATGTATTACAATTATATATTATATGTATTACAATGACCTAACTCTCTTAATTTTTTTTTGCGTGTTATTTGTTGATTGATGAGTATGCTGTGTTATTTAGATGAGCAGCCGTGCATTCTGTTTTACTCTCGTTTGTGATAAAAAAAATAATAGCATCATCGGACTCATTGGGTGTTTTAGATGGGAATTGTTATCGATTTACAAATCGATTGGTGTTCACTTTGGAATCAGCGACTCAATTCTTCTCGAATACTTACCTAAGTTTCCATAAAATTACCAAGATCAGTAAATTAAACTAAGTGTTTGCCAGTACTAGAAACAATTTTTAAAAAGGTCCATTTTGACATTTCAAACTAAATTTCTTGTAGATTGCTAAAGTCGTATTGAAGTAATAACATTTTTTGTTAGTTTGGAAAAAAATGTAAATAACCTAATTAAATTTAATGTAAATAATATGTTTTGGCGGGAATTGGGTATAGCTTTCCGCTTTTATATCGAGGAACTAGGTTATTTACACTCGGGATTATTAAAACAAAACCCCGGCACTGGATACACAAAACCCCGGACTTTTGAGGGTGTTTAACTGTTGTTGGGAATTCGGGAATCTAATACTTTTGTGACACTGAGTGAGAAGAAACAATAAGAATAATATATCTGAAATGTGGGACTGAGTAAATACACTTTGAATGAATTGACTCACCTGGTTTATTCTTCAATTCGTGAGGCCTATAGGACAACTAAATAAAAGGACTATTCACTCCTGTCTAACAAAGCAATTTATTTTAACAACTGATAATAAATGAATATATTAAAGTCTTATAACTGTAGGCTTGATATTCTTGGTCTTCAATGTCCTGCCTCTCTCATCTCAGATAACGTCCTATCGCCGTGTCCCTGCCTCAAGTGCCCTCTCTCCTCTTCTCGGCGTCCTTCTGCAGCTGCGGCTACCTGACCGGATCTTTTTCCTTCTTCACCATTTGTTCATCGATATGGGACATTCCAATTTGTCCACTGCACAATTGAGTACAATTCACAGTGCAACCTCACATTAATATATATTATATATTCCTTCTCATTCCCTCACCCATTGTCACACAAAGGAGTAAATAGAGAGGGATGTCTACTACAAAAATCATATGAGTGACTCAAACATTAAGCCTGAAAACATAGCCGAGCTTGTGCAAATGGTTTTATTAGTTCGTGTGGGGAGGGGGGTGGGGCGAAACGATATTCTGGCCTCTCATCTATTTTTTTGGGGAGGGGGGGATGCGATCGCTCCTGTTGGAAAACGGAGGAAAAACCGGTTTCCCGTGTGTCGGCAATGTTGCTCGTACAATATGATCACGCAGGCTGCATGAAATTCCTTCTTGTAAGTTCTCAACGGAAAATACTAGACGTGCGGTAATGACAAATTTTGAAAAAACAAACTTTTTACACCTGGTATTCATATTGCCTTAAAAAAATATATGAATTCATTCCTGAACATTGCATTATATGCTCTTTTAGTTGTACAAGGTTTTTCCATAAAAATAACGAATTCCAAGTTCTCAATTAATTTGTAACGATAACATTTTGATATCGTTATATTAAATATCGATGATATGGTGGTGGTAATGATAAATGAAGGCTTTAAGACTACAAAAAACAATGTTTATTGAAAAACAAAATACTTTTTTTTTAATCTATGTTGTAGACAGTGATGAGAACAATGAAATAAAATAAAATAATGTATATATATTATGAGAGTAATTATATATATATATATATATATATTCATAAAATACATCTAATTAGAACCATCGTCGTGTAATTACTGAGCTTTTTTTGAGAATCACCCAGTTTGCACATAGCGACTTTTACTGTAAGAGGATTCTCTGTTATATTGTTTTAAGTATGACCCCCCCCCCCCTGAACTACCACTAATATCCATACAAACCCACACTCATCACTGGATTCATAAGTGGATCCATAAATGGTTCATAGGTAGACCCACAATTCGATTCGTTTGTTGAGCCATAAACATACTTCTATCATAACCCATAGCCATATCTGGATTCATAGGTTGAGGTGCAGCTGGTGGATTACCTAAACCTATACCAAAAGATAAACCGAGTGTTCTAGGTTTGCCACTAGGTAGCGTTATTGCTTCGTCTAGTTCTTTCCCTAAAAACAAAATTAATTAAAATCCTATTGTTTAAGAAATAAATATTTAAGGATTATATAAATGTTATGAATAAAGTGTTATCTTTAGGTGTTGATTATCGGTGAAAACAGAGATATATAGTCGGCAAAAATAATGGCTGCGATAGATCGACGGCCGAAAAGAAGATCTTATCCGTATGAGAGCAAGAAGATTGAGGAAGGCATGGTCCATAACCATACAGATACGTGTATAACATAATAACATAATTTTGATTTAAAAGAAGTGAATATTTTGCTTCTTTAGGTAAATAAATTTCTGTATTTTCCTGGTATTTCATCTCTTTTGTTTCTATTGGGTTGTCGGGAAAAATAATGCAGGATTTTGATTTAAAAAGAAAAGAAGAAAGATTTACAACTGTTATTTATTTAATAAAAATAGTCTCCACTTCTATCAATACATTTCTACTAACGTATTGACAACTTTTCCATTCCCTCAGAATAGAATTTCTCGTCTATAGAATTCATTAACTCCAAAAACGAATTTTCTAATTCCCTTTGTCCATTACATTTTTTGTCACGTAATCAGTGGGCCAGGTGTCTAAAAAAATGATAATACGTCGGCGACAGGTCCGGAGAATATGACGGGTGTGGCAGAGTTTCATACCCAAAATCGAATAGTTTTTTGACGTCACACGTGGCGTTGCCTTAAAAAAAATATGAGGTCCTTCCGATTAATCAAAGACGGCTTCATTATTTGCCAATATCTGGTGCATTGTATTAATTTGGCTACAATACGATTATTGAAGGTTTCTCTAGGATTTAAGAAGCTGTAGTCTATAAAACCAAATGAAGCCCACCAGACAGTAACCATCATCTTTTCTTGATGAGTTGGGTTATCATCAGCCAATGTTGCCAGGAGGATATCGGGGTGGAGAGGTAAATATGCGATAAAAAGAATGGAATGGATAGAACCCAAGACTCTGCCCTGCGAAACTCCCGATTCAATTGAATAACAGCCGGAGAATTCAGAACCGCAGCGAACATGGAAGCTGTGGTCTGAAACGTAGGATCGGAGTATTACATATAAGAACTATGGTAGATGGAGTGTAAGCTTGAAGAGCAATCCGGTGTGCCATACCTGGTCTAAAAGCCTGAGCATTTCCAGAAATGCATCCGAACAATATTGCTTCTTATCTGAGTCTGGGGATATGTGGTCAACAACTCGGAGTCGTTGTTGGAATGTTGGTAACGCAATCAGAATTGATGGGTAAGATTTTATCGGGATACTATTATGGGTAGCTATTGTAAATAAGTATGAATGTGTTTTTTTTTTTTTTTTTATATATATAATGTTGTCTCATCTTTGATTTATTCTGTTATTCCAAGTTTTATTTTATTTAATTTTGTGATAATCTTGTATTTCTCTTATTATATATATGGTATGTTAGTGTTTCATTCATGCTAGATACTCATTGCCCTTAATTGAGGCAAAATGTATTTTTTTCTCAATAAATCATAAACAAATTATGGGTCGAATTCTTTCCAGTAGGAACTTTTCAAACATGTTTGATTGGATTGGGAGTAGGCTAGGCTAATTGGACTACAGGATGGTGTATTATTGACAGGATTAACTGCTTTAGGTGGTAAGGAGAGTAGGACTGGCTAATAGAGGGATTTTTCAACTTTTGCAGTGAGGGTGGGATGGGATTATGGATGAGGAATGGATGTACTGGAGAGGTGTCACTGCCCAGGAATCATCGCATCGAAGGAAATATGAATGGGTTTTACTAGTTTTTTGGCGGTATTCCAGAGGAAATCGTCATGGACAGACAAGGAAGTAAGGTAGGAACTAAAGGATTGGGACCTGGGGGATGATAATTGTTGTTTTAATACTTTACAGTAATAATAGTAGAAGAGGAGGAGAAAAGGTATATGAAGTTTTGGAGTAAAGTATTTCTCTTGAGGGTTCTTGAGGAATAATTTGGAGAGGAAGCTGTCCATACTGCTTGATGAAGGGTGGTGATGTACGGCAATGTCAAGGTCTTTCGGGTGTTTCAAGATTAGTCTGAGACAAGGAATTTGAGGAAAGAGTTTCCAGTTAACTGGGTTCCTGGGGATGAAGGATGGTGAAGAGGGTTTAGGAATAGGATTTAGAGATAATTGAAGTATTAATGGACGATGATATGAGGAAAGTTCATCAAGTCAGGTAAGGAAATGATGAGGGGACCTAAACAACTGTGGATAATAAAATCGAGGACATCAGGATTTCGGTTAGGATCAGTTGGCCAATAGGTAGATGAGTAGGAAAGAAGAAGGATGCAAATTGGGGAATTGAGTGCAGACATCAACATCCTATCACGAGAAGTTGTGGTTCTTGAACTCAATTCTTGATGCTTGACATTTAAATCAAGCACCCAGGTTGAAGCGGTGGTCTAAGGAGTTGATGAGCGAAATGAACTGGATATTGCATATGGATATGTCAGAGAGCAATATGCTGATACGATGGCGGTGGATTGTAGGAAAGCTTGAGTAGGTAATGGAAGTAGGTGATGAGAGAATATTTGTGAACAATAACAGCATTATCGGCATGTGCTGTACCGCCAGGATGGTGAGTACGGTGTGTTATGTAATGTAGTATTTCTAAAAGCTGTTCAGTCGAGTTTCTGTAATTAGGGCTACGTCGACATTATGGCATTTATAAATACAGGTCAGATGTAGTTAAGTGTTCTGACTAAACAGATATTCATTTGTAGTACATCAAATTTGCACGTAATTGAATAAATCTTCTTCTTAATACGTTATTGAAACTTTTTTTAATTATTTCGTTGTTGTTATCTAAATTTTTGTTTTTGAACATAATTTTGTTTTGATACCAAGAGACAACTAATTCTTACTGTTCACCCGGTCTATCTACTAAAATTGACAATGTTCCACCTATTTTCATTTATGTTGTTGAAAATTATCCCCACCTTATCGTATTTCTAGAAAACGGAATTGCTCAAAAAACATTTAAAATTAAATCGACCCTTAGAGGTGTTAGAGTTTATCCTGAAACACCTTCTACCTTTAGAAAACTTATTACTTCAGTTAAAAAAGTAGTTGCCGACTTTCACTGATCCCAGCTCCCAGGGAGTGGTTATTGAGGGGTTTTATCATATTGTGCCCATAGAAGTAATAGGAAAGGAATTAAAAGAGTTGGAGTACGAAGCAACTGGCGTTTTTTATAGCATATCAAAGTCATCATTCAACGAACAGATCTTTGATATTGAATACATTTATTACTCTCAAGTATCGAAGAGCCAAGACGGGAGAGGTTCATACCAGAATGTTTAAGGTGTCAGAAGTAAAAAATGCAGAACGTTTCATCGAAATCAGAGCACTATTAGTGAAAAGATATCGCGATTTTTAAATATTCTTGGTTTATTATTATGAATATGATTTTTTAATAGTTTACGAAATTTCCTTTAAAAAAAAAATATAATAATCGGACAATTAGGAGCAAAGACATGGTTTCTAGATGTTTTTTATGTTCTACTGCAAATGAAGTGATGCTATTTTTTTTTATATTTTTTTTATATCAAATTACTAATGATGAAAATAAAATGCTTAGGCAAATTATTGGAATTACCTTTTATTTCTTTTACTTTGTAGCTAGAAAAGTATTGTTACTTTTGATGTATAATTGTTGGGAAATAATAAACCATTGTGGAATATTTTGCAGCGTTTTAATTTTATAAAGAATGAACCACGGGGAGAATGACAAATCATAAAATAATTTCCATATTCATGAAAACAAGTATTTCTATAATATTCTTATTCATATCGACTATATTCTCTGCGTCTGCGGATGTTTTCTATATTATTCGGTCTTTTGCGTTGACGATATCGTCGGTTCATTGAATAAGCCACTAATTACATTTATGATAGAACCAAACTTTTAACTTCATATTTGTGAATTTCGATCATATTGACCGCTCTAAAAATATATTGAGTTCACCCACATTTTGATTTCACTGAGGGAAGATTCATCAAATCTCTTTCTAAATTAATTATCATATATGTTTCTTAATAAATCTTAATAACAAAACGACGATATATCAACTACAAAGAGACTATCATTAAAATAAATTTTAATTAACAAAAAAAAATTGAAATAAGAACCAAATCGTCATGTATTTACCCGGTGTATCCTGTGCGTCGCTGTCATCCTCAGGTCCCTTTCCCATCGTCTCGGTATTAGAATTCTTGATTCCTTTTCCTAAGATTTTGGTAATAATAGGAATTATTGGAATATTTATAGGTTTTTCATGTTTAACTATTAATTGGTAATACCAGTTGCGGATTCAGCCATTGTGGAATTATTTGTCACTTGTGCTTCTGTATAGCCCCAATTCCAAGAAATCAAAATCAGTGTAAAGACATATTGCCAAAACATATCAGTTCTAGATTAATACAAATAATATGTGAATTATTATGTATTATGTTTTATCATATAATAATCCATTTTGTAAATTACATCATTAATGAAAAACTTATACTTGAATACGAAAATCCCAGTTCGCAACAATAGTTTGACTGACAAGGGTTCCTAAAAAACTAAACTTCAGAAAGACAATACATGATTTTTATTGTGGTATTGTCAAAAGGTTATAAAATATTTACAGTCCATTATTTAATGATGCATAAGTTTATTTTCATTATCGATTCCAAGTTTATCGACAGCTATAAGTTTTAATTTCTTTCAGTGAGATTTTAATTCCCTTCAATGATTTTACTGTCTATTGTTATAAGTAGGTCTGGATTCAGATGGAAACAAATTAGATGTACCATACAATATGCCTCAAAGCGTACAATAATATGCAGTTTAGTATGTAACCAAATGTGGCATAAAAATATCTGGTGTGTCCACTCACACGACTTTCCTACCTATTTCAGAAAATTTTTATATCTTTACATATGTTCAAAAAGAATTGAACTAGATACATTTTCATGAAAATTGATCAAACATAAGATTTGAGTACGATTTATTTGATAAACTAAAGCAATGCAAACCGGCTTAAGATAGATCAGTGTAAAAACTTCAATACTTAAAATACGTAAAAAAATTTAATTACCTTTCAAAAGCTTAATTATAAATTTTACCTTATAATATATACTTAGGGAGTTAGGTCCCATAACATTTTTCTTTTCTTTATAACTTTTTTTCCAGAATTTTTCGGTTAATTTAGTCTATATACGAAAATTGAAAGAACGATGATTATATCATTATAGGAAAGTTTCATCAAAATCGTTAGAGCTATTTTTGAGCTACAGTCTATAGAAAAACATGTTTTTCATTTATTGCGCGCAAGCTATTGCGCATGGAGCACCGAATTTCTGTCGCAAGCGTCAGTAGTCAAAATCCTACAAAATAAAAAAGAAAGCAACAAAATCGGTTCAGTAGTTCTCGAGAAAATCTTGGCACAGACAGACAGAAAAATGGCTAAAAATGTGTTTTTCGGACTCAGGGGGCTGTGAAACATATAGATCCGTCGAAAACAGCATGTCGGAAATTTGACCCGATTATTTATTTATTTATTTATGCCTCCCTTCCTTGCCTTTCGGCTACACGGGATTTTGCAGGGATGGCATATCACACACGTGCATGCCATTCCTGCTATTAAACCACAGATTAATTTTCAATTTTGTTTTGTTTTTTCAAATCTCTTCTTTTTTCATTATTTTCACCATATTAGCCTGGCGGCCTTCCATTAGCAGGTCCTCTTCTCTTCTGCTCCGTCACTAACTCGGGAAATTCATCCTCCGTGAGGCCATAGACTCCAATTTTCCTTATCATTTCGGCCCTTAGTCCATCAAAGACGGTGCAGTTGACGATAATATGCTCAGCCGTCTCCGGTACTCCGCAAGTGGGGCATAGGGGATCTATGTCTTTTCCAAAACTATGTAACTTAGAGCGGAAACCCCCATGCCCAATAAGGAATTGAGAGACCCAGTAGTCCGGGAGAACCCACTTCGCTTTCAAGCTACTTCGGACGGTGGGGAAATATTTTCGTTAAGTTGCTGCTTTCAAGGTTGTTACCCACCGCCGATTCCACTCATCTATGGTATCCTCCCGGATAATCCTCTTCCATTTTTCTTTTGTAGGAAATTTAGTAATCTTATATAATCATGAACATAGCCTAGGGAAAAGTGTGTAATTTTACAGTTATTCGCATATAATGTTTCTTTTGTTTCATAACTTGTTTGGCTGAATTTTCGGAGTGATTGGAATATTTTCCCGCCGAATTATATCAAAATCGTTAGAGTCGTTTTTGAGAAAATTGTAAAAATGTGTTTCAGCGTTAATATCAAGTGGCACTTCCGGTTAGCCGATATTAAGGAAAAAGTTGCCAGAACATCTAAGGCATATATCTATCTTAAATATGCAATATCAGTTTCGACGACTTTTTGATTTCGAGCTAGAGTGCTCACATGAAAACGGACACACAGACTAAATACCATATTTCGGGACTTGGTTAGTTCGACTCAAGGGACCTCAAAATGTTTATTTCCTTTGAAAACTCAGATTCAAAAATGTTCACGATTGCAATACTTACACTTACTACACATGAAATATATGGGTAAGTGAAAGTAAAAAAACTTGTTCTTTGCGTTTCTTATCGTTAAATGCTTGGATTAATTTTGTTAGCATCATGCAGCAGATCTTCGAATCAACCGCTTTTCCTTGTTGAAGCAGCTCGTAAAAAAGCATGCTATGATAATCCCATCATGTGGAGAGCAAAATAGTTTTCGGATGTAGAGCTTCCTTCGCAGTGGCATCAGCTGGCTCGCCAGTTGTCCACGATCTCCGTAATTTCTAGTTCCTGTAGCGACCGTTCTTCTTAATATCACTCGGATCAACCTCGGTGGACCGACTTCTGCAGATTCATCTTCGAGACCCGCATTTCCGGAAAGATAATTGGCAAACCATTTTTGAGCGGTGCATTCTGTTAAGGCATCGTCCACGTATACCTTACATATGTTTCGGTGGAGCTTTGAATCTCAGTTGCCATTTTTGAAATAAAAAAGCAAAATATGCCGAAAATGCACATTATCATTATACATATTCACTACGCTCTAGCTAGAACAAAACTAATGTCAATGAAATTTCTTTTCGCATTACTAACAAAAACCTAACGAACCATTAGATCCACCTAATATAAAGGCTAGATCCAATGCCGGACGCCAATTTCAATATTCTTTGATGCCAATTTACATATCAATCTACCAAGATGTTTAAGTAAGTATGGAAATATATTCCCTTAGGGCGGAAAGGATTTCTCGATTTCTATAATTTTTTTTTTTAATTCAAATATTTTTTCTTTCCTACCTATACTAGGTAAGGAAAGTATTGCAATGGGGTCAAATTTGGATTGGACTACCAGATCTGAAACGAGTTCTGACCACAAAGTATTGGCATTCAGCCTGGGTCAATACTCAGAAGGTTCCCAGGTTTCAACACTAGCTACATAACTCGCAGAAATGACTGGACTGCTTTCAGTTGCATGTTAGAGGGAGAGCTCGTCGATGAAGATTGGGAAGTAGCAGAATCGGGGATCACAGATAATCTGGACTACAGGGTATCCCTGGTCACCAATGCTATCCTCGATGTCGCTGAAAACTCCCTCCAACATCGAAAAGCGAGAGCTCGACCAGTTCCATGGTGGATGCTGGCCTTAACAACAATGAAGAGAGAGCTCTACAAGGCACGATGGTCGTACCAGAATTGCAGAATTGCAGATGTGACGAGAGGCGCGCTGCACTTCGCAACAAGTATAAGTCCAAAGCCAAAATATACCGAAGAGAGGTACGTTCACGAAAGCATAGGTCCGGGATGAATTTATAGCAGAAGAGTCCTCGAAGAATCCTTGGGGTATCCCATACAGAGTCGCTATGGGTAAGTTCAACCCTCCGCAGGCAATAGCAGCTCTTAAGTATGGAGATGCGCAGGCAACCACCTTCGAGGAAGCATCTAACATCTTTATAAAGGCGACATACACCAGAGATGATCCATCCTAGGACAATGAGGAGGAAGCTTTCGATCGACGTTCTACGTTATACCCTCCTGGCACGGACTTATGCCCACCATGGGACATACATGATCTACGTATTGCCGTGGAAAAGCAGAGAACAGGACGTGCTCTAGGACTCGATTCAATAGATAAGGCGATTTTGAAGAACAGTATCCCCTTCATTGATGAGCAATTATTGAGGATTTTCAATGATTGCCTGGATGGGGGATACTTTCCAAAAATGTGGAAGATCGCCGACTTGAGACTCCTCTACAAGGGAGGAGGCAGGGATAAGCAGCTCCCAAAGTCATATAGACCTATATGTCTCCTCCCTATAATGAGTAAGGTTCTGGAGAACCTTATCTTAACCAACCTACGACCGGTTCTCGCAAGGGCTAGTCATCCGCGGCAATACGGTAGTACCAAGCGAAAGGGAACCGCTGATGCCCCGCTTCGAGTACAAGCGGAAGTTGAACAGAAGGCTGAGCGGTATGTCATGTTGCTGCTTTTTGACATATCCTCCGCCTTCGATAGTGTCTGGTGGCCGCGAGCACTACAGCAGCTATAGAAGTACGATGCTCCCAGCAATCTATACGCCCTCATAAGTAGCTACCTCCAGGACAGATTCGTTAAGGTCAGAAGTAGTTCTTATGAAACTAAAGCTTCCATAGAGAGGGGATGCACTCAGGGATCAGTCCTTGGTCCGCCTCTACGGAAGCTAGTATTTGATGAGTTGCTGGGTGTGCTCGAAGATGAGCGGTTCCCTGTTACGGCTTACGTCGATGGCTTGGCGGCAGTAGTAGCATCCTACAGCAGAGCCGGAATAAAGCTACAAGCAGAGCGGTGCGCCAATCTGGTCGGGCAATGGTGTGAGAGTATGAAGTTATGAATGGCCGCATCAAAGACCCAGGCGATCCTGCTGAAGGGAAAGACGGATAGGGCACACCCTATCAATCTATGTATACAGGGAACTAGAGTACGTACAAGTGTACGACCTCTCATTTGGACTACTTAGAAAATAGGGTGGCCCTGGCATTGAATGTACTTAGTCGCCTAGGAGGTGCATTTTGGGGCCTCAGGTACCCAGCTGCGAGGATCATTTACGATGGAATGATAGTGGTTATTCTGAGGTACGGCTCTCCTGCGTGTTCTCAGAATCTCTCACACCGTCCGAAACGCAGATTGGCGACAATTCAACGTACGACTCTGTTGCGAGTCACAAAATCATACCGAAGTGTGTCTCACGAGGCGGTGCAGATCTTAGCAGGAGGGGTACCTCTCGACCTTCTCCTACGAGAAGACTCGCTGATATTTAAGTTAAAAAGAGAAGGCTCAGCAGGTGAGGATTGCAGAAGACCCAAGAAAATGGAAGAGGATTATCCGGAAGGATACCATAGATGAGTGGAATCGGCGGTGGGTAACAACCTTGAAAGCAGCAACTTAACGAAAATATTTCCCCACCGTCCAAAGACGCTTGAATGCGAAGTGGGTTCTCCCGGACTACTGGGTCTCTCAATTCCTTACTGGGTATGGGGGTTTCCGCTTTAAGTTACATAGTTTTGAGAAAGACATAGATCCTCTATGCCCCACTTGCGGAGTACCGGAGATGGCTGAGCATATCATCGTCAACTGACCGGCCTTTGATGGACTAAGGGCCGAAATGATAAGAAAGATGGGAATCTATGGCCTCACGGAGGATGAATTTCTCGAGTTAGTGACGGAGCAGAACTACCCGTATTACAAAGATTTTGTGTAAGGGTGGAAAGCTGCTCTGGGGCCCTCCCACTTTAATCTGGGAAGAGAAGAGGACCTGCTAATGAAAGGCCGCCAGGCTAATATGGTGAAAATAATGAAAAAAGAAGAGATTTGAAAAAACAAAACAAAATTGAAAATTAATCTGTGGTTTAATAGCAGGAATGGCATGCGCGTGTGTGATATGCCATCCCTGCAAAATCCCGTGTAGCCGAAAGGCAAGGAAGGGAGGCATAAATAAATAAATAAATAATCGGGTCAAATTTCCGACATGCTGTTTTCGACGGATCTATATGTTTCAGAGCCCCCTGAGTCCGAAAAACACATTTTTAGCCATTTTTCTGTCTGTCTGTGCCAAGATTTTCTCGAGAACTACTGAACCGATTTTGTTGCTTTCTTTTTTATTTTGTAGGATTTTGACTACTGACGCTTGCGACAGAAATTCGGTGCTCCATGCGCAATAGCTTGCGCGCAATAAATGAAAAACATGTTTTTCTATAGACTGTAGCTCAAAAATAGCTCTAACGATTTTGATGAAACTTTCCTATAATGATATAATCATCGTTCTTTCAATTTTCGTATATAGACTAAATTAACCGAAAAATTCTGGAAAAAAAGTTATAAAGAAAAGAAAAATGTTATGGGACCTAACTCCCTAAGTATATATTATAAGGTAAAATTTATAATTAAGCTTTTGAAAGGTAATTAAATTTTTTTACGTATTTTAAGTATTGAAGTTTTTACACTGATCTACCTTAAGTCGGTTTGCATTGCTTTAGTTTATCAAATAAATCGTACTCAAATCTTATGTTTGATCAATTTTCATGAAAATGTATCTAGTTCAATTCTTTTTGAACATATGTAAAGATATAAAAACTTTTCTGAAATAGGTAGGAAAGTCGTGTGAGTGGACACACCAGATATTTTTATGCCACATTTGGTTACATACTAAACTGCATATTATTGTACGCTTTGAGACATATTGTATGGTACATCTAATTTGTTTCCATCTGAATCCAGACCTATTTATAACAATAGACAGTAAAATCATTGAAGGGAATTAAAATCTCACTGAAAGAAATTAAAACTTATAGCTGTCGATAAACTTGGAATCGATAATGAAAATAAACTTATGCATCATTAAATAATGGACTGTAAATATTTTATAACCTTTTGACAATACCACAATAAAAATCATGTATTGTCTTTCTGAAGTTTAGTTTTTTAGGAACCCTTGTCAGTCAAACTATTGTTGCGAACTGGGATTTTCGTATTCAAGTATAAGTTTTTCATTAATGATGTAATTTACAAAATGGATTATTATATGATAAAACATAATACATAATAATTCACATATTATTTGTATTAATCTAGAACTGATATGTTTTGGCAATATGTCTTTACACTGATTTTGATTTCTTGGAATTGGGGCTATACAGAAGCACAAGTGACAAATAATTCCACAATGGCTGAATCCGCAACTGGTATTACCAATTAATAGTTAAACATGAAAAACCTATAAATATTCCAATAATTCCTATTATTACCAAAATCTTAGGAAAAGGAATCAAGAATTCTAATACCGAGACGATGGGAAAGGGACCTGAGGATGACAGCGACGCACAGGATACACCGGGTAAATACATGACGATTTGATTCTTATTTCAATTTTTTTTTTGTTAATTAATATTTATTTTAATGATAGTCTCTTTGTAGTTGATATATCGTCGTTTTGTTATTAAGATTTATTAAGAAACATATATGATAATTAATTTAGAAAGAGATTTGATGAATCTTCCCTCAGTGAAATCAAAATGTGCGTGAACTCAATATATTTTTACAGCGGTCAATATGATCGAAATTCACAAATATGAAGTTAAAAGTTTGGTTCTATCATAAATGTAATTAGTGAATTATTCAATGAACCGACGATATCGTCAACGCAAAAGACCGAATAATATAGAAAACATCCGCAGACGCAGAGAATATAGTCGATATTAATAAGAATATTATAGAAATACTTGTTTTGATGAATATGGAAATTATTTTATGATTTGTCATTCTCCCCGTGGTTCATTCTTTATAAAATTAAAACGCTGCAAAATATTCCACAATGGTTTATTATTTCCCAACAATTATACATCAAAAGTAACAATACTTTTCTAGCTACAAAGTAAAAAAAATAAAAGGTAATTCCAAGAATTTGCCTAAGCATTTTATTTTCATCATTAGTAATCTGTTATAAAAAAAAAAAAAAATAGCATCACTTCATTTGCAGTAGAACATAAAAAACATCTAGAAACCATGTCTTTGCTCCTATATATGTCCGATTATTATTTTTTTTTTTTTAAGGAAATTTCGTAAACTATTAAAAAATCATATTCATAATAATAAACCAAAAATATTTAAAAATCGCGATATCTTTTCTCTAATAGTGCTCTGATTTCGATGAAACGTTCTGCATTTTTTACTGCTGACACCTTAAACATTCTGGTATGAACCTCTCCCGTCTTGGCTCTTCGATACTTGAGAGTAATAAATGTATTCAATATCAAAGATCTGTTCGTTGAATGATGACTTTGATATGCTATAAAAAAAAACATCTGAAGGGGTGTTTCAAAGCGGCAAATTACGTTAATGACGCCAGTTGCTTCGTACTCCAACTCTTTTAATTCCTTTCCTATTACTTCTATGGGCACAATATGATGAAACCCCTCAATAACCACTCCCTGGGAGCTGCTATCAGTAAAAGTCGGCAACTACTTTTTTAACTGAAGTAATAAGTTTTCTAAAGGTAGAAGGTGTTTCAGGATAAACTCTTAACACTTCTAAGGGTCGATTTAATTTTAAACGTTTTTTGAGCAATTCCGTTTTCTAGAAATACGATAAGGTGGGGATAATTTTCAACAACATAAATGAAAATAGGTGGAACATTGTCAATTTTGGTAGATAGACCGGGTGAACAGTAAGAATTAGTTGTCTCTTTGTATCAAAACAAAATTATGTTCAAAAACAAAAATTTAGATAACAACAACGAAATAATTAAAAAAAGTTTCAATAACGTATTAAGAAGAAGATTTATTCAATTACGTGCAAATTTGATGTACTACAAATGAATATCTGTTTAGTCAGAACACTTAACTACATCTGACCTGTATTTATAAATGCCATAATGTCGACGTAGGCCTAATTACAGAAACTAGACTGAACAGCTTTTAGAAATACTACATTACATAACACACCGTACTCACCATCCTGACGGTACAGCACATGCCGATAATGCTGTTATTGTTCACAAATATTCTCTCATCACCTACTTCCATTACCTACTCAAGCTTTCCTACAACCCACCGCCATCGTATCAGCATATTGCTCTCTGACATATCCAAATGCAATATCCAGTTCATTTCGCTCATCAACTCCTTAGACCACCGCTTCAACCTTTGTGTTGATTTAAATGTCAAGCATCACGAATGGAGTTCAAGAACCACAACTTCTCGTGATAGAATATTGATGTCTGCACTCAATTCCCCAATTTGCATCCTCCTTCTTTCCTACTCATTTACCTATTGGCCAACTGATCCTAAGCGCAATCCTGATATCCTCGATTTTATTATTCACAGATGTTTAGGTTCCCTCAATCATTTTCTTACCTGACTTATTTTATTTTATTTTCCTCCCTACCCTGCCTTTAAGACAATACGGGAGTTTGCAGCAGTGACTTGATACACATTGTATAAGAAATCACTGTTGCATGTTTATCTATTTACATTTTTAAATTGCTGTGCACACAGCCTGCTTGATAATTTTGTCACTTAGTTATCGTCCTCCATCTTCTTCTCCTGTCCTAATTAGCGGCCTTCCAGGTACTGCTTCTTCAAGCCTTCCCAGGGAGAAGTGGGTTGGGCCCACAGTTTTTTTCCAGCCGCATACAAAACTTTTAAAGTGCGGGTAGTTTTGTTCAGACATTAGTTGGGGTAATTGTCTTTCTGTAAGAACGAAAAGCCCTGTATCCCTCATTAATTTGGCCCTCAGTGCCTCATAGCTGGTGCAGACTACAAAGATGTGCTCAGCGGTTTCAGGTACTCCACAAGTGGGGCATAAGGGGTCGATATTTTTACCGTGTTTAAAAATTTTCGCTCTGAAACCCCCATGCCCCGTGAGGATCTGTGAGACCCAGTAGTCCGGGAGGACCCATTTCTTTTCTAAGCGCGATTTAATGGTGGGAAAGAATTTTCTTAGTGTGGACCGGTTTGGGGTTGTCACCCATCGCCGATTCCATTGTTCCAATGTATCCTCCCGGAGGATCATCTTCCATCTTCTGGGGTCATCACAAATCCTCTCCCGAATGTTTGCTTGTAAATCCGCCAAGTCATCCCTCTTAATGTTGTACCGATAAAGGTCTTCCCGCAGAAGGAGGTCGAGAGGAATACCTCCTCCTAAGACCTGCACCGCCTCATGGGACACAGTTCTGTATGACCTGGTTACTCTAAGCAGGGCCATCCGCTGGATTGTTGCCAACTTGCGCTTCTAGAGATTCCGGTTCCATGCGGGGGACGCGTATCTCAGGATACCAACAACTACTCCTTTATAAATGGACATAGTTGCTGGATATCTAAGGTCCCAAAAGGCCCCCCCTATGCGATTGAGACCATTAAGGGCTAAGGTTATCCTATTCCTTAAGTAATCCAAGTGAGTCGTCACGTTGAATTTTTTCCCAATCCTAATTCCAAGATAGGTGACTACCTCACTTGGATATATTCTTGAACCTTGTATCACCAAGGTTATGGGGTGTGCCCTATCGGTCGAACCTCTCAAGAGGATGGCCTGAGTCTTGGAATCCGCCATCCTTAACTTCTTTTTCTCGCACCATTCTTCTACAAGGTTGGCACAACGTTCAGCTTCGTATTTTAATCTGGCCCTGCTATTCGAGGCCACTACAACAGCCAGTCATCTACATATGCAGTGGCGGGGAACCGCTCCTGTTCTAGCACTCCCAGCAACTCGTCAAAGACCAGTTTCCATAGGGCAGGGCCAAGGACAGAGCCCTGTGGACAACCCCTTTCCACTGTATTTTCTACTTCATAGAAGCTACCTTTAATCTTCAATGTCCTATCGTGGAGATAGCTTCTGATCAAGCCATACAAGTTGCTGGGAGCTTCATGCCTTTGCAACTGCTGGAGTACGCTCGGCCATCAGACGCTATCGAAGGCGGATGATATGTCAAACAGGAGGAGCATAACATAATTCTCCGCCTTCTCTTCAACATCACAGCGCACTCTCAGCAGGGCATCTGCGGTTCCCCTGCCTTTAGAGGATCCGTACTGCCGTGGATGGCTCGCTCTCGAGAAGACTGGCCGTAGGCTGGTGAGTATTAGGTTTTCTAACACCTTGCTCATGATTGGGAGGAGACATATAGGTCTATAAGATTTGGCTAATTGCTTATCTTTGTCTCCTCCTTTGTAAATGAGCTTTTAGTTTTAGCTGTTAGCGATTTTCCAGATTCTTGGGAAGTATTCCCTGTCTAGGCAATCATTATAAATAGCCAGCAATCTTTCCTCTATATAGGGAATACTGTTCTTGAAAATTGACGCGTCAATGGTGTCTAAACCGGGGGCACGACCAACCTTTTGCTTGTCCACGGCAGTGCGAAGATCCCATATATCCCATGGTGGGCACAGGTCCGTGCCGGGAGGGTATACCGTAGTGCGTCTTACGAACTCCTCCTCTTCATTATCTTGAGATGGATCATCCCTGGGGTAAGTCTCTGTAATAAACATCTTCGCCGATTCTTCTGGAGTTTTTGCCTGAGTACCGTCATACTTTATCGCGGCGATTACTTGCATTGGAGTCAATTTACCCAAGGCTACTTTGTACGGGATACCCCAGGGGTTTTTAGATGATTCCTCAACGATGAATTCATCCCAAGACCTACGTTTATGTAGACGCACCTCGTTTCGGTATATCCTGGCTTTAGACCTGTACTCGTCACGAAGAGTAGTGCGCCTCTCATCGCAACTACACCGCTGGTACGAACGCCGGGCCTTGTAGAGCTCTCTCTTCATGGTGGTTAAAGCCGGCGTCCACCATGGGACAGGTTTAGCTCTCGCCTTCCGGTGCTGGAGAGAGTCCTCTGCGACATCACGGATGATATCAGTGATTCTCGAAACCCTGTAATCCAGGTCATCAGTGTAATCCGTTTCCGCCACATCCCCGTCATCGTCGACTAGTTTTTCTTCCAGCGTTGACCGGAAGGCATTCCAATCTCCTTTCCGAGTTCTGTAACCCTTATTTATACCGTGGGAAGTTACCATGTTTTGTACCATTGAAAATACTATAGCATGGTGGTCGGAACTCGTCTCAGATCTGAGGGTCCAATCGATAAGGCGATTTGACAGCGCAGGCGAAGCCATCGTGACATCTATCCAACTCTGCCCTCTTCCTCCTGAGAAGGTAGGTGTGGCAGAAGGATCGTTTAGTACTACAAGCTGGCATCTCGCGATAAATTCATCCAGTTTAGCGCCTCTTCTATTCGTTCGATTGGATCCCCAGACCGTGTTCCAGGAATTTGTATCTGAGCATATAATGACGTTTCTTGTGCAAGCTGAGATCGTCTCCATGGCGGATATACCTTCTTCAATATCGCTTCCATCAGGTAGGTACGAGGAGACCAGCGTAAAAGCTACACTTCCCCACCTGATGTAAAATGCAACGCAATCCGCCGTAGTATGCTGCCTCAGATCCATCACATCGAGGTTTGGGTTATTAACCACGATAGCAGCCCTGGGCCTCCTCTCTCCACTGCTCAGGGCTATAACCCTCGACGTGAGGCCAAATCCTGTGACCATGTTCCCACGGCATGTCGGTTCCTGAACCGCCATGATATCGTATCGGTCAGAATGGGCTCGGAGTTCGTCTGCCACGATACGCCGGCGGCCCATGTTTAACTGCAGAATGTTTATTTTACTCATAATAGGTCTTTTTCACTACTTCATCGGCCCACTGTAAGTGTACTTGGCAGTCCCGACTGCCCGCCTTGTGATTCCTTTGGTTGGGAGATGCATTCGCTCGCACGCAGTTAATACACGTTGGCCCAACCTGTTGTTTTTTTTTTTTGGACAGTCCTTCAGTATATGTCCGCCTGCTGCACACCAGATGCAGACGACATTGTCAGCTTGGCAAGTGGCCTTTGTGTGGCCATAGCCCTGACATTTAGAGCAACGCGGGGCGTCAATGTAATCCCTGAAGGTCATCAACCACCATCCTCCATCCAAGTTTCCTACTTCTAGTAGCGCAAACCTGACCATTGGGTGGACTTCCAGGACCCAATTCTTGGAGAAGCCGTTCCTAGCGACTGTAGAGAACAATGGCCGAAGATCTTCAAGAACTGGTGGTGTAGGCCCCGACGTCTCGGGAATTTTTCCCCATAAAAATTCCACGAGTTGTATTGAAGTCCAGGCATGAGGCACGCCCCGGATCTCTAGTTTAGGCTTCTTCTTCAGAGCAAGCCTGGCTTGTAGACCTCTATCACGTAGCCCCTGGCATCCTATAACTTTGGTAGCATCATCATCCATACGCACCAAGATGGAGCCTCCCTTAGTTTTACGTACAATTGTGGCCTTCACTCCAATTTCTTCTGGTGATGGTAGCCCATTAATGATATCTGCCGTGGTTTTACCAGGGCCACTGATAGTGACATATGTTGACCGGGGCATTTGTGTAGGCTTTGATGGCAAGGATTTAACTATGGAAGCAATAGATTTTGCCATTACTTCTTCCTTCTCTCTTTGCGGTTTTTCATTTGAATCAGAACAGTTGATTTGACTCTCTCGTATCATTTTTTCCTTGGCATTCTTAGTCTTCCTCCGTTTCCTTTTATTTAAGACCAACCGAAAGGGTTCGATGGTAGCTGAAGGTTCAGCCGGATTCATATCTAGACCAACCTGTTCTAGGGCCTCAGAAGTCCCGGCCTGTGGTTGAAGACTATTCGTACCAGGTGTGGCTGATTTCAAGAAGTACCAATCTGAGGACGACATGATATCATACCAAGCTGCTCAGTAACTTTGGGCAAGGAGCTATCAGCAATTATTCGAGTTAGTACTTCGTGGACCTTCTGAGATGAAAGTGCTTCAGTAACTGCTCTCTGAACAATGGCTGATACACCGCCTTGGTAGTTATCCCTTTCTAGTGTTTCAATCATATCAGCAAGAGATTGAATCTCATTGTTGATATGATCTCGAACACTGGCACTATTTTTTTTTCGCAATTTTATCTAAGGATACTTTAATACTTTCCTGAATTTGTCTGGCACTGTGAAAGTTGCTGTTATTAATAGCCGCATCCACTGTATCTAAATTTTCTGAAGAAACCTTTCGAGCTCTTTTAACTAAAGGCCTGGAAGGCTTACCATCCTCTTGCCGATCTTTCATCACAAAACTTTCCGTGGAAAGGTCCATGTTTGTTAGCACAGCAATAGTTACTATATTGTTATCAGATGGAGAGTTTATATGATACTTTATCACTAACCTATAACCTTTCACATTAACAATAAAAATTGAAAAATAACTGTTCCCACAATATCGTTCACTTTACACTTTACTTCTCAAGTATTTTAAGCAAGAGATTGGCTTAAGCTAGCTTGAGGTATGGGAGGAAGAAGAAAACAATAAATGAGTAAACAATGATAAGGTGTTTATACTTACCAAGTTCACTTTACAAGTATTGTCCCGCCAATTTTACTTGGCCTTTCGTCCTAATTGTCTTTACCGTTCCCAGTTAAAATAGTTCACCAACAAACACCTCTCAAGGTAGTAAAAACTTACCTTCCACTCCTAACCTCACAATTTACAAGTCAATGTTAATAAAAATAAACAAAAACACAAAACACTAAACAAACACTTATTGACTAGAAAATGAACTAAAGAACTGTGAACAAGAAATAAACGACATAACTAAGTGAAAAACAAGAATATTAATCAAAAACACAATCAGTAAATAATATGCGACCTATCGCTCTCACTTACACCATATGGTTTTTTTCCTTACCTGACTTGATGAACTTTCCTCATATCATCGTCCATTAATACTTCAATTATCTCTAACTCTTATTCCTAAACCCCCTCCACCATCCTTCATCCCCAGGAACCCAGTTAACTGGAAACTCTTTCCTCAAATTCTTTGTCTCAGACTAATCTTAAAACACCCGAAAGACCTTGACATTGCCGTACATCACCACCCTTCAACAAGCAGTATGGACAGCTTCCTCTCCAAATTATTCCTCAAGAACCCTCAAGAGAAATAATTTACCCCAAAACTTCATATACCTTTTCTCCTCCTCTTCTACTATTATTACTGTAAAGTATTAAAACAACAATTATCATCCCCCAGGTCCCAATCCTTTAGTTCCTACCTTACTTCCTTCTCTGTCCATGACGATTTCCTCTGGAATACCGCCAAAAAACTAGTAAAACCCATTCATATTTCCGTCGATGCGATGATTCCTGGGCAGTGACACCTCTCCAGTACATGCATTCCTCATCCATAATCCCATCCCACCCACACTGCAAAAGTTGAAAAATCCCTCTCTTAGCCAATCCAACTCTCCTTAACACCTAAAGCAGTTAATCCTGTCAATAATCCTGTAGTCCAATTAGCCTAGCCTACTCCCAATCCAATCAAACATGTTTGAAAAGATCCTACTGGAAAGAATTCGACCCATAATTTGTTTATGATTTATTGAGAAAAAAATACATTTTGCCTCAATTAAGGGCAATGAGTATCTAGGATGAATGAAACACTAACATACCATATATATAATAAGAGAAATACAAAATTATCACAAAATTAAATAAAATAAAACTTGGAATAACAGAATAAATCAAAGATGAGACAACATTATATATAAAAAAAAAAAAAAAAAACACATTCATACTTATTCACAACATCTACCCATAAAGGTATCCCGAAAAAATCTTACCCATCAATTCTGATTGCGTTACCAACATTCCAACAACGACTCCGAGTTGTTGACCACATATTCCCAGACTCAGATAAGAAGCAATATTGTTCGGATGCATTTCTGGACATGCGCAGGCTTTTAGACAAGGTATGGCACACCGGATTGCTTTTCAAGCTTACACTCCATCTACATTAGTTCTTATATATAATACTCCGATCCTACCTTTCAGACCACAGCTTCCATGTTCGCTGTGGTTCTGAATTCTCCGGCTGTTATTCAATTGAATTGGGAGTTTCGCAGGGCAGAGTCTTGGGTTCTATCCATTCCATTCTTTTTATCGCATATTTACCTCTCCATCCCGATATCCTCCTGGCAACATTGGCTGATGATAACCCAACTCATCAAGAAAAGATGATGGTTACTGTTTGGTGGGCTTCATTTGGTTTTATAGACTACAGCTTCTTAAATCCTAGAGAAACCTTCAACAATCGTATTGTAACCAAATTAATACAATGAACCAGAAATTGGTAATAATGAAGCCGTTTTTGATTAATCGGAAGGACCTCATATTTTTATAAGGCAACGACACGTGTGACGGTACAAAAACTGTTCGATCTTGGATATGAAACTCTGCCACACCCGTCATATTCTCCGGACCTGTCGCCGGCGGATTATCATTTTTTTTTAGACACCTGGACCACTGCTTGCGTGACAATAAATGTAATGGACAAAGGGAATTAGAAAATTCGTTTTTGGAGTTAATCAATTCTATAGATGAGAAATTCTATTCTTAGGGAATGGAAAAGTTGTCAATACGTTAGTAGAAATGTATTGATAGGAGTGGAGACTATTTTTATTAAATAAATAACAGTTGTAAATCTTTCTTCTTTTCTTTTTAAATCAAAATTATGCATTATTTTTCCCGACAACCCAATAGAAACAAAAGAGATGAAATACCAGGCAAATACAGAAATTTATTTACCTAAATAAGCAAAATATTCACTTCTTTAATATAAAAATTATGTTATTATGTTATACACGTATCTGTATGGTTATGGACCATGCCTTCCTCAAACTACCCTGTCCACAGCTGTTCTCCATCTTCTTACTCCAATACGGATAAGATTTTCTTTTCTGCCGTTGATTTATCGGGGCCAGGATTTTCGCCGACTATATGTCTCTGTTTTCACCGATATCAACACCAAATGATAACACTTTATTCATATCATTTATATAATCCTTAAATATTTATTTCTTATATAGTAGAATTTTAATTAATTTTGTTTTTAGGGAAAGAACTAGAAGAACCAATAACGCTACCTGACAACAAACCTAGAGCATTGGGTTTATCTTTTGGTATAGGTTTAGGTAGTCAACCAGCTGAATCTCCACCTATGAATCCAGTTATAGCTGTGGATTATGATAGAAGTATGAGTATGAGTTTGAATCCACCAGCTATGAATCCATTTATGGCTGTGGATTATGATAGCAGTATGAGTACGGGTCAACATATGAATCAGATTGTGGGTCAACCTGTGAATCCAGTTATGGGTGTCGGTTATGATAGCAGTATGAGTACGGGTCAACATATGAATCGAATTGTGGGCCAACCTGTGAATCCAGTTATGGCTGTGGATTATGATAGCAGTATGAATACGGGTCAACATATGAATCAGATTGTGGGTCAACCTGTGAATCCAGTTATGGGTGTCGGTTATGATAGCAGTATGAGTACGGGTCAACAAATGAATCGAGTTGTGAGTCAACCTGTGAATCCAGTTATGAGTGTCGGTTATGATAGCAGTATGAGTACGGGTCAACAAGTGAATCGAGTTGTGGGCCAACCTGTGAATCCAGTTATGGGTGTCGGTTATGATAGCAGTATGAGTACGGGTCAACAAATGAATCGAATTGTGGACCAACCTGTGAATCCAGTTATGGGTTTCGGTTATGATAGCAGTATGAGTACGGGTCAACAAATGAATCGAGTTGTGAATCAACCTGCGAATCCAGTTATGGGTGTCGGTTATGATAGCAGTATGAGTACGGGTCAACAAATGAATCGAGTTGTGAATCAACCTGCGAATCCAGTTATGGGTGTCGGTTATGATAGCAGTATGAGTACGGGTCAACAAATGAATCGAGTTGTGACTCAACCTGTGAATCCAGTTATGGGTGTCGGTTATGATACCAGTATGAGTACGGGTCAACAAATGAATCGAGTTGTGAGTCAACCTGTGAATCCAGTTATGAGTGTCGGTTATGATAGCAGTATGAGTACGGGTCAACAAATGAATCGAGTTGTGAGTCAACCTGTGAATCCAGTTATGGGTGTCGGTTATGATACCAGTATGAGTACGGGTCAACAAATGAATCGAGTTGTGAGTCAACCTGTGAATCCAGTTATGAGTGTGGTTTCGGATAAAGGTATGGATAGTATTAGTGGTAGTTCAGAAGCGTCATACGTAAAACAATATAACAGAGAATCCGCTTATAGTAAAAGTCGCTATGTGCAAACTGGGTGATTCTCAAAAAAAGCTCAGTAGTTACACGACGATTGTTCTAATTAGAAGTATTTTATGAATATATATATATATATATATATATATATATATATATATATATATATATATAATTACTCTCATAATATATGTACATTATTTTATTTTATTTCATTCTTCTCACCACTGTCTACAACATAGATTAAAAAAAAGTATTTTGTATTTCAATAAACATTGTTTTTTTGTGGTCTTAAAGCCTTCAATTATTATTACCACCGACATATCAATGATATCAAAATGTTATTGTTACAAATTATCTGAGAACTTGGAAGGCGTTATTTTTATGGGAAAACCTTGTACAACTAAAAGATCATATAATGCAATGTTCAGGAATGAATTCATATATTTTTTTAAGGTAATATGAATACCTGGTGTAAAAGTTTGTTTTTTCAAACTTTGTCATTACCACACGTCTAATATTTTCCGTTGAGAACCCACAAGAAGGAATTTCATGCAGCCTGCTTGATCATATTGTACGAGAAACACTGCCGACACACGAGAAACCGGTTTTTCCTCCGTTTTTCAACAGGAGCGATCGCATCTCTCTCCCCCCCCAATAAAAATAGATGAGAGGCCAGAATATCGTTTCGCCCCACCCCCCCCTCCTCCCACACGAACTAATAAAACCATTTGCACAAGCTCGGCTATGTTTTCAGGCTTAATGTTTGAGTCACTCATATGATTTTTGTAGTAGACATCCCTCTCTATTTACTCCTTTGTGTGACATTGGGTGAAGGAATATATAATATATAGGAATGTGAGGTTGCACTGTGAATTGTACTTAATTGTGCAGTGGACAAATTGTTCATTGAAAAGTCTCATATCGATAAACAATCGATGAAGAAGGAAAAAGGTCCGGTCAGGGAGCAGCAGCTGGAAAAGGACGCCAGGCACTGGAGGCTGAGACATTGAGGCGGAAAGACATACATAGGAAGAAAGTCTACTACAAGATTTAGAAGATCAATTCTATAGTTGTAACACTTTAATAGAGTCAATTTATTACAGTTGTAGAAATAAATTATTTTGTTATACCGGAGTGAAAAGTCATTTATTTATTTAGTTTTCCTATATGCCTCATGATTGAAGAATAACAAACCAGGTGAATCAATTCATTCAAAGTGTATTTACTAAGTCCCACATTTCAGATGTATTATTCTTATTGTTTCTTCTCACTCAGTGTCAAAAAAGGTATTAGATTCCCGAATTCCCAACAACAGTTAAACACCCTCAAAAAGTCTATATCCAGGGCCGGAGTTTTGTTTTAATTATATCGAGTGTAAATAAACTAGTTCCCCGATATAAAAACGGAAGGCTATTCGCTATTCCCGCCAAAAAACTAACTATTTAACAATTAACTTTTAGTAGGTTATTTACAAGACAATATAATATATTGTTGGCATATTGCAAAAAGTCATTGAGTGGTTTTTCATAACCTTTAATAGTTCATAACTTTGAAGAATTTTTCATTCCCGAAATCAGAAAATTGAAAAATTCTGAGCTTTATTCAGAATATCTGCTGCGAAGCATTTTTTAAAAAATCTGGTGTGGTGCATGCATCATAAAACTTTCACTTACCACTCTTAACTGAGTAAGTATAGGTATTTTAATGTACAGGAAAGTGAACGTAAAACTTATAAACTGTATAACATATTTAAAACAATTAATTACATAACAAAAAATTGTGGCCGAGTTCATAGATTAAATTTCCAATAAATAATTTGAAGAATTCTAATAATAGAACAATTTCGAAAGATATAATTAGCAATCTAGAGTTTAGAATATGGCTCTTGAGGTTAACAATGAAGGTTAAAAACTGAATTGAATAAAAAAGTAGTGAAATTGATAAATTAAGGTAACATTCATTTAATCAGAGGATGAAAGAAGTCGTCACAACGAATTGTGAATTTGTAACAACAAAAATAATGCTAATTTAATTATATATTACATTTACAATGTCTGCATAGTTAAGTCAGTTTATAATTGAGAAGATAAAAGTTTTAAATTGAAACATTTATCATTTTTATAAACATTTGGTTTGTTGAAAGACTTTTTCATACCATCGTATACCTCTTAACTCTGAAGCAGATTTTATAGAATCAACGTGTTTATATACTTGAACATCAGTGTCATACCTATGTAGTAAACTCAGTCATCTTAATGAAGCTGCATGGATTTGTTCACACAGATAAGATTCTTTTCTTTGAAACTATTTAGCAAAAGGGTGAAAATTAATAATAATGTAAGTTTAGACTATGACTTATTTTATTTCACAAAAATTTGAAAGGTTTATACTAAAAAAAATTAACAGTTCACATTTAAAATTAATAAGAAGCATTTTAGGCCGACCGGCCACCGAAAGCACAGCGGAGCTTTCATTTTCCTAAACCGAACCAAAGATTTTCAATAAGAGGCCGGCCGCTAGAAGCTGAGCGCAGTCGAGCAGCTTAGCAAGGGTCTGCGCAGCTCAGCTTCCCCCACCATACCTGCTCACCACTGTCGCACAACTACGGAGAGGGGGCTTTGTCTCTCAGTGTCATACTTTTTTTCCACTTGTCTTCACAGCACAACCTCTCAAATTATTTTATTTTTGTTCAGTGTAAAATATAAAATGGATGTGAAAGAATTTTTAAATAGAATCGAATGTGAAGGAAAAATATTCAATTTTATACACAAATATTCAATTTTTCGTTTCAACTCACGACACGACCAACTTTGCTATTTTTTTATTTATTTATATTTTATGCAATTTGCACATGCACGGCTGCGCATCTAGCAAATTTGTTGTGTTTGTATTGGTATAGGTCTTTTGGCCACTTTCATTTTAATCTGTGTTGTACAGGGAACAGGAGATAGAAAGAACCAGAGAATTGGAGTGATTTTGGGTTGAAGAATGAAATGTAGTGTATTTGTCGTGGATGTAGGGATGTTTTACTGTTGGGGTGTTTAAGTCGTTATGTATAGTAGTATTTGAAATGTAACAAGGTGCGTTAACAATTTTTCGTAAAATTTTTTATTGTGCTGTTTGTATTTTGTTTGTTTTGCTGAACCCCAAAGTTCTGCTCCATATGTCCATATTGGTCTCAGTAAGATGCTGTAGATCAGTCTGTAGTACAGAAGATGTGAAAGTTGGCTATATCGTCTAGTAAGCTCTTGTCTTTTTAATTTCGTATGTATGTTCCAAGTAAGTCTTTTGTCTAAGAAGAGTCCAACCAAGGTACCGTACATAGTTCTTTGAAGGCACTGGATTATCGTTATGGGTGGACATGAGGCTTTCCTAAGAGAGAAACTAACGTGGGTGGATTTTTGACTATTAATTTTGATTGTCTAGTTTTCACACCACTTTTCAAGATCATGAAGATGGTTTTGTAGGGCAATTGATGCGATAGTAGGATTTTTGTGTGAAGTTAGAATAGCAGTGTCGTCAGCGAAGCAATAAATGGTGGTATTAGCTCAGGGATATCAGAAGTGTATATAGAATAGAGGATTGGGCTTAAGATGCTACCTTGTGGTACGCCTTTGTCAACACAAAGGAAAGGAAGGAAGAAACAGAAGAATCTACAGAAGTACAGAAAAATCTATTAAGAAAGTAGGATTGTTATGTATACTTTTTAAAAATGTTATACAAACTATGAGAAGGGTACCGATTCAAGACATGTTGCTGACTGAGCTGAGCTCTGCTACACAATAAGTTGCCGACTCCCTCTTGCTACACTCAGCTCAGCTGTGCTTGTAGCCGATCAGCCTTATTGTAGTTAAAGTGAGTTTTCAACAAGCAAAACTACAATATTTCTTACGTTTATAAATATTTTGTTATTCAAGATGGAGACCCTTCGGCCTTGATACAACTCCATAGATCTTAAAATTCACTAAAGGAATTTTCTCTTTTTACCTAAATACATTTTAATTATCTACCAGCAATATTGCTCGGGTTCATTTCTGGACATTGCTCAAGCTTTTGACCGGGTATGGCACGCCGGGCTTCTTTCCAAGCTGAAAACCTATCTTCCTCAGTCCTTGTACCTTGTCCTCCGTTCCTACCTCTCAGATCGTACCTTCCGAATTCGCTGCGGTAGTGAATTATCGAATTGCTATCCAATTGAGGCAGGTGTTCCTCAATGTAGCGTATTGGGTCCCGTCCTTTACATCCTCTTTACCGCTGATATCCCTGTCCATCCCGATACCTTCCTGGCAACTTTTGCTGATGACACCGCCATTCTATCATCCGACTCAGATCCTGATATAGCATCCTCAAACCTTCAAAGACACCTCTCCCTGATTGAGCACTGGTGTAATAAATGGCGAATTAAAGTAAACGAATCCAAATGCCAACACATCACCTTCACGCTCCGACGCAGTTCCTGTCCACCAGTACACTTTAATTCCATTCAGCTTCCTTTCTCGGACACAGTCCGGTACCTTGGCTTTCTCTTAGACAGACGACTAACGTGGAACCCTCATACTAGACTTAAAAGACAGGAATTAACCGACGATACGGACAACTATAGCGGCTACTAAACAGAAAATCAAAACTTTCCATTGAAAACAAGTTACTGATCTACAAGACAATACTGAAACCTATCTGGACTTACGGACTTGAACTGTGGGGAACAGAAAAATTTACTAACATCAAACGCATCCAATCCTTCCAATCAAAAGTCCTTCGAACAATAGCCAATGCTCCTTTCTATGTAACCAACAAAACCCTACACCATGACCTTAATATCCCATTTGTCCTAGACCTTATCCCAGCAAAATTCTCCAAATTCCACCAGAACCTTACCCATCATCCAAATCTCTTTGCAAAATCTCTATCCAGCACCACCCATCCATATAATCCTCCAAGTAGGTTAAAACGGCAGTGGCCCCGCGTTCTTTTATAGTTTGTAAATATTGGAGTTCTGGCAATGGCCAGATTCTCCACTCACGACATGAGTGTATGTGGCTAAAGCACTCTTGCTCAATCTCCACTGGGTTTAGCCCTAATGGCGCGGTTGAAAGAGGAG